ATACTTTTCGCCCACTTCCCTAGAAATATCTTGTCTATGTTACTTTTAAAAAATTAAAATATCAAAATTTTTAAAAACAATTAATGGTGGTCGCAAAGGACTTTGTAAGTATGGAAGCTCGTTCTGCTTCGAGATACGCTTAGCCAGATCAAAGGAAGACAGAACAAACAGGAAACACCAAGTGAAGTTTTTTGCACTAGTGACAACAGGACGAGCGTTTAATACGGATGGAAGCATTCAAGCCGAAAACGCACAAAACTATTATTCAGTCACGAAAGTGACGCAAATAACACAGACCACAAATATAGGCGATGACTGTTAGCAGCCTAGGCTAGCTAGCAGCAGTCTGAACGTGGTCGAGCTTTTCTTTTTTTCTCAAAACGACTTGGACTTGGACTCGTTGTCTATTTCTCTTTCCCTCACCTAAAGGAAGTTAAGCTATCAAACCATTTTAGGCTAACGAATGTAAGGGATGCACATCTGCAGATTGAAACTCGCACTGGCTTCCTTAATACCTTCTCACGATTTGTATGATATTACATTGTTTTTTTTTTTTTTTTTTTCGATTTAAACATTTTCACCTCATCGCAATTTGTTTGTTTTTCCATTTACTCTGTAGCTCTTGCGATCTCCAAAACAAATGCACTTAAATGAACCAGACATCATCGTTATTATCGTCATCATGTTGTTGCTGGATATGCCAGATAGGGCATATGGTGTTCCTCCATGACTTTATCTTGTGCAGTTCTTTTGACATCATCAATGAAATCTAGTCCTGCACATTGTGAACCTAAAATGCAGACCCACCAAAACTCATGAACCCTCTATGCACTAAGCCAAACAGTTAATCTCTTTCACCACCAAGCCCTCTGCTTCCCTCAGAGATCACAGTAACACACGAGCAGTGAGGCTACATAGCAAGCACTGACAATAATTAGCACTTGAACATTATTTAAAATCTATGCTAGAGAATCTTGGGTCATAAACTTATATCCTTTAAGAGACAGTTTTGTTGCATTTTTGTTTAGGTGAAGAAAGCCTTCTTTGCCCTAATTTACAATGGCGTGAGAGCTGCACCTTTGTGGGACACCAACCGTCAAGATTTTGTGGGTAAGTTTATTTTATTTCTGACCTCATGAGCTCTTGTACATAAACAAATATTGAAGAAGTCTGATAGTTTTTATCTCACCTCCCCCCCCCCCCCCCCCCCTTATACCATCAAGATGTAAATTAAGACGATAATTTGTTGAAGGTAGTATATTGACATGAAAAGGTTATACAGTAAACTAAGATATACTTGCTTAAATTTTTGCATCCCAGATATTTTGATATCAAATCCTTTGTTCTAATCCTCTTATCAAGACCCATGGTGACTCATCGTTAGTCTTCCCCATCCTCTGTCTGTCCCATACAGCAAATATCTTCTTCTTTGCGTTCACCAGCTGTACACTCTGGCGGAAAGTTCTGGTTGCTCATCCATTACTGAACTGCAGTCCTGCTCCAGAACCTGAGTGTTGCGTGTGCATCAGTTTTACAGATCTCATTCTCTCGAATACAGACTGTTGGTTCCTTGCCTCTCCGGCAGATGCACTCCGACTTCAAAGGAAGCTCCCCAATTAGTCGACTTTTACGACATGCTTTTGGGCAGGCAGTGGGTCCTATTCTTGTTTTTACCCCACAATGGGGCCCCGGAACCCACACGGGGGACAGCAAATATAATAGCCCATTATTTTCCTCACTAAACTACCCCTCATATCATGGATCCATCGTGAACCAACCTTAGTGTTCCCATCCGATGCCTGTCCCATGCAGCAAATATAATACCCCACTTGTGTTACCCACTAAACCACACCTCAAATCCTGGACCTATTGTGACCCATCCTTACTATGTTTCAGCCAGCTGTTTTATCTTGTATTGGTCCATATGTTGGCCACTGAAAATTAGAAGAATCTAACAAAGGGTACTAGTAATTCTGGCTGAAGTAACAAACACATGGATTGTTGCCTTGCATTAGTAAATCACCAATACCTACCTGGCCTGACCCATTTCTATTTACAAACCACCAGTAAAAATCAACAAAATTAAATGACCCCAGAAAAACTTGTAAATACCTCCCCCACCAAATTCAAGTTGCTTTTGGTGATTTAAGTGCTGCTAATTTAGAGTACTTTTGAACAGCCTAGTGCTATTCTTATAAAAATGCAGACGTTGTGCTGTTGTTCCAGAGACCATTCATTTAATTAATGTCAAGGTCCATTTCAGTTGGTCTGTACAGAAGTTTTCATAAAGTACAACCACTGATAACAGTAAAGGCCACAATTCTTCTCACTTCTGTAAGTCTAGGTAGTTAGCTTGCCAAGTTCTTTGACCTTACTTTATTACCAATAAGTGTGTGTGGTGTCTGTGTCAAAGGCAGAGGTGTTGCCATTGCTGCATCACATCCCTTTATTTAGTTCCCTTAAATTTGTCTCTCCACATTTTCGTGGTCTTCCTCTGACTGTATCTAGGCTTTAGGAATGTTATTTATTATTTCCACAAACTGTATGTTGTCTGTCAAAAAAAGGCACATCATGATGTTGTTTCACATCATCTCTTTCCTGGAAAACCTAGCAGACATTCTCCAGAATTGAAATCCTATATGATGAGTGTTTCTTTTGGTATGTTGGTAAAGACCAAATGTAAAATCAAATTTAAAGTGTTGGAATTAAAAATCTGTAACATTTGTTACGAAAATAAAGTTTGTTCGTTTGTTCGTTACTATACTTTCTTTTTAATCTTTCGATATTTGTATGTCTGTTTATAATGTGTTTTTTATGCTTCCATCTATGAACAAATTTAAACAAACCGCTTCGATATATTCAATCAGGACTTTTTTATGTACTTCACTGTTTTTATTCGTACATTTAATGAGTCTGATGATTTACTGTTTATCATTATTTCACTCTGGAACCGTTGATTTTTATGAATTATTCACATGCAGAAAGACAAAACACTTGCCATCAAACAGATGAACAACAAAACTTTATTTTTCAAGAGTGACAGATTGGGTTTGCAGACCTGTCCAGACACCTGTCAGAATACACAGACACACTCATAAATCCAAACAAATGTTTGCAATTTACCAGACACAGTGAGTTAGGGTATAATCAGTACTTACGTTTGAAGACGTATATAATCTCAGGTTAGCGGATGTTGCTCTTCATCCAGCCCATGAAAAAACTGATTCTTCACCTGTCCTCAGGCCTCACATGGTGTTTTTCACTGTTTCCCCATGTCGACATTCCTATTGTGGCCACTTCCATTCCAGAAATCTTCATGTGACATCGAAGGAATGTTATTCTTCTTTTCAAGCTTACAACACTATATTGAAGAAAAATTCGAAGATTTGGGACAATTAATGCTAGACCCATATTTTATAGACCAGTCTGCACTCTATGGGTGATAGGCCCAGCATCGTGCCAGCCGCCTTTACTTCCCAAACTTTACCTGGTACCCAGGCTGGTTTATCCAGGGAGCCAAGGTCATTTCTAAAAAAACCTGTTTTTTTCAGGCTCGAATTCAGATCAACAGGCGAGCATCTAGCCGCTACCACACGGCAGCTCTCTAAGAGATTTATAGTTACATAACTTACCTACTGATTGTCATATTTAGTTATCTTTATCTTTTGCCGACTTTAGTCTTTGTCCTAATCTTCTGATGCCAGTTCACATATATCTGTACCACTACCAGCTTGTCTTATCGTTATCTTATGCCATCTTCAGTCTTACTTTAATGTTCTGAAGCAACTTCAAGTGAATCTTTACCTCTCCTGTCAGCGTGTCTTATCTTTATCTCATGCCAGCATCAGGATCTTCATTTACCAGTGAATGTGTTACTGTGATCTCACCTTTGAGCCAGTGTATCATAATTTGATGTTCCTGATGTCAGTTCTAGTCTAATCCTGATCACTCTTCATGTGTTCCAGTTTTATTTTGTTGTCAGTTGATCTCAATTGTCAGTTTGTCTAATCTTGATCTCAGTTGTCGCTTTGTCTTATCTTGATAACTGTTGTCAGTTTGTCTGATCTTGATCACTGTTGTCAGTTTGTCTTATCTTGATCACTGTTGTCAGTTTGTCTGATCTTGAACACTGTTGTCAGTTTGTCTGATCTTGATCACCGTTGTCAGTTTGTCTGATCTTGATCACTGTTGTCAGTTTGTCTTATCTTGATCACTGTTGTCGGTTTGTCTTATCATGATCACCGTTGTCAGTTTGTCTGATCTTGATCACTGTTGTCAGTTTGTCTTATCTTGATCACTGTTGTCAGTTTGTCTTATCTTGATCACTGTTGTCAGTTTGTCTGATCATGATCACTGTTGTCAGTTTGTCTTATCTTGATCTCTCTTTATGCAAGTTCAATTGACAGTTTGTCTTTTCTACCTCTCTGTTGATGCAGGTTTCAATCTTATGTTGATTTTTTCCTCGTGAGTTCTTTTCTATTCTCAGTTTCTTCTGATCATAGCTCCGGTCTTATCAGATCTTTTCAGTCTCATATTGTTTCTTTCTTGATGCAAGTTGAAGTGTCATCTTGATTGACTGATGCAAACTGCGGTCTTATCTCACTCTTCTTTTACTAGCTCCACAATATCTTAAACTCTGCTGAAGTCTGTTCAATTTTTTATTCTCTTTGACTGAAAATCCAACCGGAGATGCAGGTGGAGCACTAAAGGGTATGTCTTGAGTGCTATGATGCTTGTCTCTAAAATTATAAGTTTAAGCAAAATTACCAATTGTTTTTTTTTTGTTCAGTATCGCAATTTTTTTTCTCAATGCTTTTGCAATTGGGAATCAAAAAAGATTACTCAGTAAATATGAGAGAACCTGATTTTCTTATTTGTTATATTTGTAAATACATCTCATTATCTTAAGTTTCATAGTAAAAATAAACCAAGGAAAGTCTTATTTATGCAGTTGTTTAGCTGTTTCCTTCCTTCCTTCACTGCTGCTTTCTCTTCTGCAGGTATGCTGACAATCACAGATTTCATCTCTATCCTAAGGAGATTATATGTGTCTCCAAATGTAAGTATTGATTTTAACCTGTCTCTCTTTGTCTGGTGCAATGGAAATATTTGTTTGGATTTTTGTTTGTGACTGTGTGTACTGATTATGAATAACTAACTCATCTGTTTCCTGTGTTCTCTGTCTCTGTCTCCCCTCCCCCTCTCTCTCTCTCTCTCTCCTCCCTCTCTTTCTCTCATCTGCATGTGTATGCATGTGAGTGTGGATGTGTGACTGTATGTGTGGGACTCTGTGTGTATACTATGTTTGTGTTCATTTGTTTGTTTGTTCATGTTCTAATGGTGATGTGTGCTTTATGTTCTCTATGTTCCTGTGTTCTATATTTGAGTTTGTATATTATGGTGGTGGTATATTCTGTCTGTGTCCTAAGAATATCTACTTTCATATGGATGTTACCCATGTGGGTTCTGGGGCCCCTTTGAGGGGGGGGGGGGGGGGGAGAATAGGTTCACTGCTCCATAACAAGGTGACTAAGCCTGTTTCCTTCAGTTTGAGTGCATCTGCCTGAGAGGTGAGGAATGAACAACCCACATACAATTAAGCCAGATCTGTAAAAAAGATGTGCACACAAAACGTTATGGATCAAGGCCAGAGTTCGGAAGTGGACGAACAACTAAACCTTTCTGTCGGAGGTTACAAATGGTGAACACGAAGAAGAAAAATGTATGATTGAGTGTACTTTATCATAAATAGTCATTATTTTGTGGCCATGTTATGAGTGGAAAGAAACTGGAACATGACAGCTGGTCTGATTTGTGTAAAAAGAGATAGAGGAAGACAGTGGGAGAAAATTCTTGACAGCCTATTGTCAAGGCAAGGAGGGGTGACCTCAAATTAACCGATAATGGCTTTTAAAATTGCAGTTTCTGGAGAGGCATTATAGACCCTGCCAGTCAGCAAGGCAGTTGATGATGATGATTGATGTGCTTGTGTCTGAGTATATGTGATCTGCTGGTGAAATATGCTTTCAGTGCATGTGACTTTATAACTGTGTTGAATGTATGTTTATCTGCACAGACACATATATACAGGACATTTTCTTACACACACTGATGGTTGTAAAGAAAACAGCAAAAGAAAAACTGTCTGCCTTGCTATAACTATACTTAGGAATATTGATAAATAATTGCCCCTGGTCTTTTGAATACCATAGACCAAGAATAAAAGAAGAAAAAAACTGACATCCTAATAAAAGGTCTGAAGTTTCTTTCAGGCTGACCATGATGAGAGTTAGTTTTCCACCATATTGCCCTGTTATGTAACTTGTAATGTTAAACTTCCCTGGCTTTTTTTTTTTAATAGGTCAGAATGGATGAGCTGGAAGATCATAAAATCCTGAATTGGAGAGGTTAGTTTGACAGTTTTTTTAAAATACAAAATCATATTTTGTTGTTGTTGTGAGAGTAACTCATTTAGCACTAGGCAGATGTTGTTACTTTAACTCATTATATTCTACAAACCACTTATTTTAAATAACATACTGGGACAGAAGAGTTCAATGATGGAATCAGAGGAGGTGAGTCTTGGTATCTTTGTGGCTAGATGCTCGCCTGCCTACCCAAAGAACTTGGGTTAGAATCCCCACTTGCCCATATGGGTTCTGGGGCTGTATTTGTATATAAATAGTTAGGGGTGTTCCCTTTGAAGGGAACAAGGAGTGCAAGGAACTAACAGTCTGCATGCCACAAATTTATAAAACAGATAAACACAGAAACCTCAGTTCTTATTCAAGACCAAATCTAGGGTGGATGAACAGCCAAATCTTTCTGCCCTGAGTTTTCAGCCAGTGAATACTAAGAAAAATAAAACTCCCTACTGAGGTGCCCCCCCCCCCCCCCCCCCCCCCCCCCCCCCCCCCCCCCCACCACCCCTCTATTTTTTTTTTAAATTTACGTCAAGGTGGACCCAGTTTGGAAATGGGTACCAGATATCCTGGGAAGTAAAGGTGGCCAGCATCATGTTGAGGACATGACTCACAGAGTTTCCGGTAGTCTGTACTGTCTAGCATCTTTTGTCCAATGAGTTGAAGGTGTGGGGGAAAAAAAATACTTTTTCAGGGCCAGAGGAAAATGAACATAAAATCTGATCAATTCAAGAGGGGTGAAAAAAATAAGAGAAATGTCTTGGCAACCACTGGTAACAGTTATAAGACAAACAAAATGGTACTACACAGGACACATCCTGTAGAGAAACAAGCAAAGAATCACAGAGCACCCTTTAAAATGAAAAATTAAAGGATTAAGGAAATGAGGATGTCTGAAAGAAATTTTTAAAAACAAACATGGATCAGAGATGCTGTGGGTGCTAGGTTGATAGGTTGAATTCCATACATGATTGATATGAAAAGGATTGCACAGGATATAGTAGAAATGATAAATAGACTGAACCCAATGGGACAACAGGATAATGATGAAGTAAAGTAAAGGTCCCTTGTGCTCAGGCGTATTGGGAATGCACGGCTAGACCTATATTTTTTATAGACCAATCGGCACTTGGTGGGTGATGTGGTCAGGACTGCACCCGGTACCCACTGAAGGGTGGGTTGACCTGAAAGTCAAGGTCATTTCTGAAAATGCTCTGTCACGACCTTCCCATTCTCAGGCGAGCATCTAACAGCCAATGCCACGGCAACTCCCAACAGGATAATGATGAATAACCAAATAGTTGTTACTGCATTCCTAACATTGTGTGTGCATGTTAATAACGGTTCAGTTTTAAGGATTTTCAAGGATGAGAGCTGCATTACAGGCAGAGTTATACTGTAGACATAAATTTGATTATTTATAACAAGAACTGGACAAAATACATGATGATGATGAATTTTTATTGTGTTGTAATGTGCTAGCCTCACATCTGTCATTCTTTTTTAGTCTACTTTTTTATGATTAAAAACTGTTGCTTTACTTAGATTTTGGTAATTTAATGTCAAAAGTTAATCTTTATATGTTGCCTGCTCGTCTCATTAAAAAATATATATAAACTTAAAAATGTTGATCTAGCAGAAAAACTATTTAAACAGGTTTCTGTTAAACTCAGTTTTGAAACGATCAGATATTCATTGTTATATTTATTTTTTCATATAATTTGAATTCGTTTCACATAGATATTGGGCAATAAAAGAAAAAGCATTCTTTACTGTCTTATGAGCATTTGAGTTTTTCATTTACTTTCTGCAGAAATGGAAACAGACAGGCAGCGACCGTTTATGTACATCACTCCAGACGCCAGTTTGTTTGATGCCATCAAGTCTCTTTTAGAGAACCATGTTCATCGGTTGCCAGTGATGGACGAGGTTACAGGCAATGCTCTCTATATTCTGACACACAAGCGTATCCTGCGTTTTCTGCACATGTTTGTGAGTAACAGTTCCTTTCTGCTTCTGCTATTGTTTGAACTTTTTGCCAGGAAATCTCTTTGCCGGGAAAAAACCTAGAATGTGTGAATTCCCCGCAAAAAATTATTTTAAAACATAAACATATTACACAGACCATTAATAAATTTTACCAAAAATTGAGTGCATTTTAAAAAAAATGTGTATGTGTGAAATATTCATAGATGTAATGAATAATTACCAACATAATGAAGACATACATTGTTTACATTTGCTTGTAGGACATACAAGTGACTTAGAACCTGCTTGTATATACCAGCTTTTAGAGTTATGAAGGCTGTGGGGAAGGGTAAGGTTGTCATAAGTATGAAGATTTAAGGCCAGATGGCTAATAATCACCTCAGACTGCTGCTTGGGATGTTTATTTGTACATCCAACAGAAGGAAAAACCTGTTACATTAGCAAGGATTCAAGCACTGGTCTACCACATGAGAAATAGTAGAATGGGACAGTTTGGTTGAGTTCTGTTGCTTCAGTTGGCAATAAAGAGTAGAAGGTAAAGAAGGTAACAGATGAGTATTTACTCCTGCAACTATAGTTGCTGCCCAAATCTCCTGCCACTGGACATAGAGAAAATGGCCACATAAAAGAGTAAGATGGCTATTTTTCTTTTCCACCAGAAATCAGAAACTACATGAGAGATGGGTGGCTTGCCATTAGACAGAGGGAAGTAAAGTAATGTTAAGCAACTTTCTACACTAGTGAAGTATCAGGCATAAGATACTAGACAATATTTCTAGAACAATCAACAGTGAGTGATGTGGTTTTTGAACCCAAGACCTTCAGGTCAGTAAGCCTCTAGTCACTTTACCATCATGGTTTTCAGTAGAGATCTGTTTATATCCTCTTCATGTCGATGTCAAGTTATTCCCCGTTGTTGTTGCTTCTCTGCCCATGTCATTACGCATTATTTATTTTTCTCCTTTCTACTGTCCTTCAGATTTCCTTTGGTCATCCACGTCTCCTTTTCCCGTCTGCCAACGATTGAAGAGTTGTCCTTGCGAAAGTGTCGCGAGGCATTCTGCAAACATGACCGAACCATTTTGTCTTCTTCCTTTGATAAACCATTAACATTTTATTAGAAATACTCTAAATGTTAGCTTACAGGGTATCTTCATGCTTCTGTTATGTTCCTATGACCCATGGTTGGATGATCTGAGCATTGACAAGAATTGGCTTATAAACAACATCCTGTCCTGAAAGCTGAGGTATTTTGACAATGTTATAAATGTCATGATGGCCTGAAAAATGAGGCAGAGGCAGACCTACTTGAACGTGGATACAAGGCAATGAAGACACTTGCTATAAAAGCACATAGGGCTGGAGAATTGGCTGTAGAGAGACTTTCAGTGGGCCATGAAGAGAGCGACATTCTGTAAAGTAACTGCTGATTGATAACCCATGTTTGGGTTGTGGAATAATTTTTGTTTTTAAATTACAAACCTTTTTAAACCAGACTTGTTTATTGTTTTGGCACCTACGAGAGTACTGACCATCTTATATTGTTTATGTTCATTGTAGATGAGATCCTTGGCAGAGCCTCCCTTTATGAGGTCTACAATCAAAGAACTTGGTATTGGAACATACACCAATGTGATCACGGTAAGTTTCATTTACAAACTTGCAGAAACTTTGATGTTCTCATTTTTGGACATTAATAGCATTTTTCTGAGAGGAGTTCTCATTAGGAAATCTGGAGAAGTCCAAGGGAATTAAATACTAAACTTAAAATAATAAGTACTGCTGTATGCAGCTGAAATATGGAGACCAGCTGAAACTGTTACAAGTAGACTACATTCATTCATTAACTGCTGCCTGTGCAGACTGAAGGGAATTAAATGGTATGATAAAAATCACTTATATAGAACTTTGGGAGAGAGCTAAGGAAATTCCTTGAGTAAAAAGGTGAAGAAAAGATGTTGACATTGGATAAGACTGACATTGAGAGAACCACTGTAACCCACAGGGGCATAGAAATAAAGGCATACCCCACACACACAAAAAACATATGAAGGGAGCTAGAAAGTGAGATAAGGAAGGCATGTGATAGCAAAGAGAAGAAGAATGATTTTGCTCTTACTCTGTCTATTCAGTAGCATTCTTCTCCTTACTTTCCTGCAGTTAACTCTTTCTATACCAAGGAATTCCTTCCCCTATTCATTAGGCTGGAGTCTGTTGACAGTGAAATATCTGAAATCTGTGGATGAAAGTTTACCAACCTCAGCCTAATCCCAATCTGTGACTGAAATCTCAGTCTTTGGAGACACTGGAATCTCAGCCTTTGGAGACACAGGAATCTCAGCCTTTGGAGTCGCTGGAATCTCAGTCTGTGGAAACACAGGAATCCCAGCCTTTGGAGACGCTGGAATCTGTGTAGTAGACACTGGAATCTCAGCCTGTGTAGTAGACACTGGAATCTCAGCCTGTGTAGTAGATACTGGAATCTCAGCCTGTGTAGTATATACTGGAATCTCAGCCTGTGTAGTAGATACTGGAATCTCAGCCTGTGTAGTAGATACTGGAATCTCAGCCTGTGTAGTCGATTCTGGAATCTCAGCCTGTGTAGTAGATACTGGAATCTCAGCCTGTGTAGTAGATACTGGAATCTCAGCCTGTGTAGTAGATACTGGAATCTCAGCCTGTGTAGTAGATACTGGAATCTCAGCCTGTGTAGTAGACACTGGAATCTCAGCCTGTGTAGTCGATTCTGGAATCTCAGCCTGTGTAGTAGATACTGGAATCTCAGCCTGTGTAGTAGATACTGGAATCTCAGCAAGGGAGACACTGGAATCTCAGCCTGTGGAAACACTGGAATCTCTGCCTTTGGAGACACTGGAATCTCAGCATTTGAAGACACTGGAATCTCAGCCTTTGAAGACACTGGAATTGCAGCTTGTGTAGCAGCTTGTGGAGAATGGAATCTCAGCCTGTGGAGACACAGAAATTCCACTTTGTGGACACAGGTAAATATTGGCTAGGACTTCAGTAGGCAACCTGTTTCTATGATGACCACAGAGAGGTGTAGATAGGTTCTGGCCTATATGAGTCCTGGTGCACACCCATCATCATCACCATCATCACCACCACCATCATCACCACCATCATCATCATCACCATCACCACCACCACCATGTGTGTGGTTTAGCATTCCTGTGGTGATGATGAATTTAAGTTTTTTTTTTCTTTTAGATTGTATTTTTCCAACTTTTGTTAATTTTGCTGTGAATCTGATGTTTTACAGGCAACACCAGAAACTACAATCCTAACAGCCCTTAATTTGTTCATGGATCACAGAGTGTCAGCATTACCAGTTGTCAACAGTGCCGGCGAGATCATCAACATTTATGCCAAATTTGATGTTATTGTGAGTAATTCTGAAGTTTTATACCTGATTCATCTAACCTATTTTAGTCCAGAAATCATGACCAGCTTGGAAAAAATCTGTACCTCAGTCACCGTTTGGTGTAAGCTGTTGCTGTATATGAAAAAACAGACACAGATTCAAAGCAATTAGCTTGTTTAGTTAATTGATTATCAGGAACTTTTCCAAATGTCAGATTGCACATTTTTATGAAGCATTGCACACTCAGATGGTCCATGTTCAGCATAAGCCTCCTGTGTGTTGTAAATTAATGTGACAGTAGTGTTGTAAATTAATGCGACAGTAGTGTTGTAAATTAATGCGACAGCCGTGTTGTAAATTAATGCAACAGTAGTGTTGTAAATTAATGCGACAGTAGTGTTGTAAATTAATGCGACAGCCGTGTTGTAAATTAATGCGACAGCCGTGTTGTAAACGGGCACAACCCATAGTTAACTTTAGATAAATGCAGAAAAGGAATAAGAAAATAGAAGGCACATTCAGTTTGTGTGTGTGGGGGGGGGGGGGCGGGTCACTTCAGTACACAGCCTGTTTGTTTGCTTTAACCTTATATCACATCATGTTACTAGTTTTTACCTTATAAAACATGTTACAACTTTATAAATCTCAGAATATAGCCTGTTTTTTTTTTTTTTTTTGGTCAAACCTTAGAACAAACCACTATCATTTGTTTGTTTTATTTAACCTTAGAATAAATCCTTTTATCACTTTATTTGTTGTTTTTTCCCTCACCTCAGAATATGTTATCAGTTCATGTCTGTTGCCAGTTGTGTAGTTTTCTTCACATTTCATCATGTTACCAGCTCTTAACCTCTAAACACATTATGCTACCAGCTCTTAACCTCCAAACACATTGTGCTACCAGCTCTTAATCTTCAAACACACTGTGCTACCAGCTCTTAACCTCCAAACACATTATGCTACCAGCTCTTAACCTCCAAACACATTATGCTACCAGCTCTTAACCTCCAAACACATTGTGCTACCAGCTCTTAACCTCTAAACACATTATGCTACCAGCTCTTAATCTCCAAACACATTGTGCTACCAGCTCTTAACCTCCAAACACATTGTGCTACCATCTCTTAATCTCCAAACACATTATGCTACCAGCTCTTAATCTCCAAACACATTATGCTACCAGCTCTTAATCTCCAAACACATTATGCTACCAGCTCTTAATCTCCAAACACATTGTGCTACCAGCTCTTAACCTCTAAACACATTATGCTACCAGCTCTTAATCTCCAAACACATTGTGCTACCAGCTCTTAACCTCTAAAAACACATTGTGCTACCAGCTCTTAATCTCCAAACACATTGTGCTACCAGCTCTTAACCTCCAAACACATTATGCTACCAGCTCTTAACCTCCAAACACATTGTGCTACCAGCTCTTAACCTCCAAACACATTGTGCTACCAGCTCTTAATCTTTAAACACATTGTGCTACCAGCTCTTAATCTCCAAACACATTGTGCTACCAGCTCTTAATCTCCAAACACATTATGCTACCAGCTCTTAATCTCTAAAAACACATTGTGCTACCAGCTCTTAACCTCTAAACACATTGTGCTACCAGCTCTTAACCTCCAAACACATTGTGCTACCAGCTCTTAATCTCTAAAAACACATTGTGCTACCAGCTCTTAACCTCTAAACATATTGTGCTACCAGCTCTTAACCTCCAAACACATTGTGCCACCAGCTCTTAATCTCTAATAACACATTGTGCTACCAGCTCTTAATCTCCAAACACATTGTGCTACCAGCTCTTAATCTCCAAACACATTGTGCTACCAGCTCTTAATCTCTAAAAACACATTGTGCTACCAGCTCTTAACCTCTAAACACATTGTGCTACCAGCTCTTAACCTCCAAACACATTATGCTACCAGCTCTTAACCTCCAAACACATTGTGCTACCAGCTCTTAATCTCCAAACACATTGTGCTACCAGCTCTTAATCTCTAAAAACACATTGTGCTACCAGCTCTTAACCTCCAAACACATTGTGCTACCAGCTCTTAACCTCCAAACACATTGTGCTACCAGCTATTAACCTCCAAACACATTGTGCTACCAGCTCCTAATCTCCAAACACATTGTGCTACCAGTTTTAACCTTAAAAAAAAAGACTTCATCTCTGTTTCATTATTTGTGTCTTTTTAATGTTTTTTTTAAAGTATATCTTATGGACACAATTTGATTTCCTCAGACGCTGGCTGCTGATAAAAGCTACAACAATTTGGATATTACCCTTGAAGAGGCCCTCAAAAGAGAGAGTAGTGAGGTAAATCAGAAATTAAAATAATGGATAAATTGACTAATGAATATATGTGATACAAAATTAACAAATTTACGGGACACAGGAGCCTCTTCTGGAATTGGGGAAACTCCCAAGCTAGCTTGGTTCAACGCTTGGTGAAGAATGATTCACTTGCAAATACTATAATTCAAGGAGGGTAGTCAGTGAAGAGGATTACAAAGAAGAATCTGGAAAGGAATGAGATCAAGAAATGGACAGGACTAAATTACTGTACATTTGTTCAGCAAGCTGATAACTGAGAAAAATGGCAGGTATTGTGTGCTAATGCTTCGATTGATACACCTCCATGATCCAAATGGGTGAAGAAACATTTTGGTCCTCAACAGTGAGTAAATAATGCTAGGTCAAGTGGAAAATAAAAAAGTCCATGCAAAGAATGGACAGACGAAATGTCTCTAAGGATCCCTGTGCATAAAGCATACAGAAAGGCACTTGTGTCGCAGCTTATGCTTCATCTCATCACCCTGCTGCTTCCAGACCAGTAGCATGGTCAGTCAACAAGCAGTGACGCACACACTAATCACTATCCGTGAATAAGTAAATAACAACAGGTAGCATAAACTCTGAAATTTGGAAATGACACATAATTTCCCTCACCTGGATCTATACACATGGTCATGCCTTAATATAAGGTACGAATGAGCAAACCAGCTGGCAAGCAGTGCTCCAATGCATGTGGAAAGATGTATGCATAGATGGATCATATCAGTGCTGTTTAGACTGGGTTAATGAACAATGACGGATCTCTGACACAAACATGATTGTGTGACATGGGAGTGAAGTAAGGTGAAGCATGTCTGTGCCACCTTCAAGGCCAAGATAGGAGATATAACAGCTCCTCATGGGAGCACTCATTTGAGGCATCTGGGAATGGCTGCTGCATCGAAGGACTAAAGACACTGGGGAATGTCCAATTTGCAATGACATTGCTTGTGATAACAACAAAAACTACAAGAGGATCACTGTTACATGATATGATGATTGATTAGTATTTTCAGCCCACTTCAGATTTTTTTTAATGATACACTGGGAAAAGAATATTTATTAGAATTATGGGAAGTTAGATGAAGAAAGTAGTGTAGCTTTGACTGTTATTTCTAGACTCAAGCTTTGGTAAGGTACTCATCTGAAGTGTACATCAAGAAAAGCATACAAAGATCAGAGTCAGCTGACATAAGGAGATGAAATATTAGTTAGATGGCATTCTTTTTTGGTGACAGTATATTCTAGTGCTATTTTTCTTATTATTTAAGAACACAACTGCAAAATGACCAGTAATTTGAGCTTTATTTAAAGCACATTTATGATGGGAAATACTAGTTGATGCTAATTGCTTGAGAAAGTTATAAAAATAATGCTACTATGGGAGATTCTAAACATTTCTCGGGGACACAAAGACCTAGTGTACAAATAGCATTACAATGTTTGTATAAATAATGCTAAGTATTTTACCTTCATCTATGATTATTTTGGATATATTTTATCAAGTTTCCATTGTTCTTCAGAAAGGTAAGTAAAAAAAAAGTATTATTTCATGTTAGAGATTTCTTTAAACACGCCGCCTTCTGTTTGTTTAATAATGTTTAACTACTAACACAATTATTTGTTAAATCGGTATTCTTGTATTAATCTTAACCCACTGATTACCAGGATGGCATGTTATGTTATCTGCCGATGTTTACATCTGGCTACCACAATCACACCCCCTGCGATGTTAACTTTGACATCTGGCTACCACAATCACACCCACTGCCATGTTAACTTTGAACGCTCGTCGTCATGTTAAAGTTGCAATTTTTATGGTCAGTCTTGTTGAAGCCTTTAGCCCAGTCATTTCTGCATTTTAATTTAAAGGAATCAACTCGGTACTGCTAAAGTATATTTTTTTCTGAATTTGAGATTCAATGTTGCTGACATATTGACAAAATTTTTGTCTTGGCGCCAGATTCTCGAAGAGATCATGGTGGTCATATTTATCATTTTCCTGTTGCTGCGCACGATTTTCTTTTGTTTTTTCTTTGGAAAATGAAGATAAAGATATTACTGAACAGTTTGATGATTCTATATTTGATAAATCTAAGGAGATGCCATAAATTAATCATCAACAGTGAAACAGCGGCATGTTGCTTTAAAGTCAAGTCTGACTAGACTCAACCAGCAGTTACACAGGTGGCAACAAGCACTAGTGCAGCAGTTTCTGATACTGATAGTTCTAGGGAATTAATTCATTCAGAGCCTGTAGATTTAGAAGATATTATGTATGAGCCAGCACATGAGGAAGATATTGACACTTTTGATGCAAAATCATCATCTGACAAGTCAAGAGAAGATTTGCCATTCCCCCACTGGTTAATGAACAGCATTGTGATTGCAAGGCTTTCCTTAAGTACCCCCCATTTACTGGCACTTCTGTTTTATTTCTGCCAGAAGGAACAAATGAACAACTGGGTATTTTATTTTCTTCAGTAAAGACATTTTTCTGTGTTTGCTAAAGAAACAAGACAACTTAAGGCACAGATTGCTGCTAGACCGGTCCCCCTCCCCCACAAGAATTTGAAACAGTCCAGAATAAAGTGAGAGGGTTTCTTTTACTGTTCTTACATATGACAGTTGTGAAAAAGCCATCTTTTTCAGACTACTGGAGCATGTTGCCCATACGTGAATAGAACCAATCAGTTTCAGAAACTAAGTCACTACGGACATACCAGTTTTAGGATATTTGTGGGGAATTGGACCTAACCATAAGTGCCGGCGTTTGCTCCAATATTTGTTCATTAATTTCTGATAAGTAACCAATGGTGTATGTAAAATTATATGTGTAAATTCATATTTCCTTTTGTCAACAGGGAACTGAGAAAGTGGCCACCTGCTTGCCTTCTGATACTTTAAGTGCTGTCATTGAGAAAATTGTCACAGCTGAGGTGAGTTTATTGTCCTTTTGATGTATTTGTGGAGCATGAGTGCTTAGTATCTGCATACTTTTAAACAAATGTAGTTTAATGATAACACAGTCATATGTTGTATGCGCCTTTTCAGGCCTGTTTTTTGTTTCATTATTCAAGATTGACGGATTTATTTTTGATTTTATGTCAACTTTAACCTGCAAACTTTCGAATTTTTTAGGTTGTGCGATACCAGTGTGCTATAGGGGCTGGCTTGGGTTTTTTCCTTTCCTTTTTTTTATGTTTAGAAAAAATATTTTTTAAATTGTATGGTATTATGTGACTAGTGATGCAGTAAATACTATTTTTACTAACTTTGTGGACAGTCCTAGAATAATGTAAATGCAAAATCACAGCATTTGAGATGAGATGTATACAAAAGAATGAGGAGGGGAAAACATGAAGAGATTGATTCACCAACGAAGAACTGAGAATAATGGCAGGCACAGAACTGGTAAATGATTTCATAGAACATTAAATAACAGAATGGCTCGATCATCTGGTCAGAATGGAATCAGTTCAGCTAGCATCCAGAGCGTACTACATGAGAACAATAGGCTACAGGTCAAGAGGCTGACCAAGAAAGATGGATGCAAGGAGTAAAAGAGACACTAAAAATGTCATGAACAGAAACTATGCAGCTAGCAAAAAGAACAGGACACTACATCTAACTCTCTCTACAATTCTTTACTTTATAAGCAATAAGACAGAAGAAGATGCTGGTGTGAACCAATTTAAAAGTTTCTTGGACAAACTTATTTGGCTTACATCCTCCAAGAATTCTGTAAATTTGCCAGTTTGTGTGCACACAGCTGTAGAAATTCAGCTTCTGAAACTTAGAACTGAAGGTACTTCATGAATTGCATCCAGCTGTCACACAGGTTCTGCTGTGTGGCAAGTTTATGAGATTCTGCCCGATTCACCACTTTAAGGAAGTAAATGACACCAAATGAGGCAAAACAATGCTGTTTTTATGCATGTCCTTTAATTGATTTGCTGCCAATCAAATCAGTGTTTGTTTATCTACATTATATATTTTTCTTAACCCCTCATGCTAGATTCGGCTGTTACAGTAACCCACACTGCTGCGTTTGTTGCTTCAGCTTCAATCTGTCCCAGAACATTATTTAAAGCCATTCTGGTTTAAACATTAATTTTTTTTTAAAACATACTATGAAAGATTATGTAATTGCAATTCTAGCTTCACAGCAAACGGGTCACGCCATAATTGCTGTGTTCCTGTGAAAAAACACAGAACCATAAATATACCTAAATCTCGTAAACGCATAAAGCAGCCATCAGAAGTGCCAACACAGACAGTCCAAAACTAAAAATGTATGATTGAAGCAGCAGTTATAACAAATTCATAGTTAACACTTGCCTAAGGCACCATTTTATCACCACTTAAAAAAAAAATTATTTAAGAAAATTCATAACAGTTTAGTTTATCGACCAAAACTGTTAAATTATGTGGGGCCCATCAGTAAATAAAATACTGCTGAGAATGAACTGGGTCACATCTGTGTCTAAAAATAAATTCTTACAGATTTTTTTTCATCCTGTGATCTAGTTGCAGGTTAACACTGTTATGAGTGGGACAATAATTCCATTTTTTTCTATTAACAAAGCCATTTTTTTCCACATGACAACCCCTCTAAATGCAATATTCAGTAGCAATAGTCATTCCAGATCTTGCAAAACACGTGCGCAGGTGCACATGAAAACTACTTTTAGCTAGACATCTTGTGGACAGGACAACTAAAGCCATGTTGGTAAAGTGACTTTCTCTGGGGATTAGACCCAACTTCGTGGCTTCTGGGACAACAGGGTTAAGACATTTCTTCAAAACATGAATTCACTCATATCTCATTGTATATATAATGAAAACTTTAAATCACTCATAATGTCATTTTTTCTTACAACTACTTTAACATCCCTAGCCATATAATCATTGTATTATGATATGATCACCAATCCTTGCTGTTTTTTTTTTTTTTTTTTTGCTCACTATTACTGATCTTCATTGTTCTTGCCTTCTAATATTATTTATCCTTATTGTTGTCCACTGAAAAATATGGGTGTTGAAAGGGTCTGTTGTAAGATATTGTTTCCCATCGGTAAAAGATTAATATTGGAAGGGTAGAATGTAAGATTCTGTTTTCCATTGTAAAAGATTGGTGTTAAAAGGGTGAAATGTAAGATACTGTTTTCCATTGCAAAAGATTGGTGAATGAAGAGTCAAATTTAAGATAGAGCTTTTTGCTGTAAGAAGATTGCTGTTGAAAGGATTGAATGTGAGATATTGTTTTCCACTAGAGGAATGTTGGTTAAGTGTAATGTAAGATTTGAATGCTTTTCCAGTTTGTGTCCTTTGAAAAAGAAATTGGTTCATTCACTTATTCTGTTTCACTGTAGTAGTGTATGTTGTTTGGTTCCTTTTCTGAATGTTGGGGATTCATTTTCAGACTGATTTTAATTTGAGTCGTGGGTGGAATTTTCAAAATTTGGGAGCCCTCTTGGGAAATTGTCTGAGGTACAGTTTTCTGTTTTATGCGATAATGCTTTGATCAGATTGCTAGCCATTTTTCATCAGAGACCGAGCAGATGGGATGAAACCTAGTGAAATGTTGTTGATGACTTCAACTTTCAACACTTTGTTTTTTGAAGTCACCCATGTTATTCACTCATTGTTGATCACAACCAGGTTCATCGACTGGTGATTGTAGACGAGGGGGACCATGTGCTGGGGATTCTCTCATTGTCAGATATACTCAGATACATCATCCTGAGACCAATGGGTAAGTTCATTTTGGGTTCCTAGCAGGTTACCTGCATAATTTGTTCAGCACCACTGTGTTTAGACACTTTAGGGTGAGTACCGGCACTTTTTGTTTATTTTTTTTTCAATACTGAGGTGAGGTTCTGCACTTTTTTTATAGAAAAAAGCTCTTATCAGCATTTGCCGGCTGGCACTGGTGATCATGATTCTTCACCTCTTGCAGTCTCCAGTACAGTGTGTCAATTTGTGTGGTTGGGAAAAAAAATTACTCATTTATACATGTAGTATAGAGGACCCGCTCTGTGGCTAAGTCGATAAGAACGCTTCGGGATGCCGGGTTCGATCCCAGCTGCGGGCCGTGCGACTTGCGCTAGTTTCGACAGTGGTATCAAAAAAGCAGACCGTCCAGAAAGCTATGGCAAACTACTGGACGTAAATTTGCCTAGAAAAACCACACAACAGCCAGGGGCTGTTGGGGTTGGTTCTGCAACATCCTGTAAAGGATACGCAACTAACTAAATTAGAGAGGATCCAGATTTGCCCACTTGACATTCCAATGGAAACCAGGCTCTATTGAGCGGTGGAAGATATGCATCACAACACAGACCTCACAGAGGCCTGTGGCCATCTCATCTGAAAACTACTGGGAGAAACAGCAAAAAGAAGACTTAGTTCTGTACCAGTTATTATAGAGCTTGACTTAGTTCTGTACCAGTTATTATAGAGCTTGACTTAGTTCTGTACCAGTTATTATAGAGCTTGACTTAGTTCTGTACCAGTTATTATAGGGCTTGACTTAGTTCTGTACGAGTTATTATAGAGCTTGACTTAGTTCTGTACCAGTTATTATAGGGCTTGACTTAGTTCTGTACCAGTTATTATAGAGCTTGACTTAGTTCTGTACCAGTTATTATAGAGCTTGACTTAGTTCTGTACTAGTTATTATAGGGCTTGACTTAGTTCTGTACCAGTTATTATAAGGCTTGACTTAGTTCTGTACCAGTTATTATAGAGCTTGACTTAGTTCTGTACCAGTTATTATAGGGCTTGACTTAGTTCTCTACCAGTTATTATAGGGCTTGACTTAGTTCTGTACCAGTTATTATAGGGCTTGACTTAGTTCTGTACCAGTTATTATAGGGCTCGACTTAGTTCTGTACCAGTTATTATAGAGCTTGACTTAGTTCTGTACCAGTTATTATAGAGCTTGACTTGTACAGTTTATTAGAGCTTACTTAGTTCTGTACCAGTTATTATAGACTTAGCTTTACTAGGGCTGACTTAGTTCTTTACCAGTTATTATAGGGCTTGACTTAGTTCTGTACCAGTTATTATAGGGCTTGACTTAGTTCTGTACCAGTTATTATAGGGCTCGACTTAGTTCTGTACCAGTTATTATAGAGCTTGACTTAGTTCTGTACCAGTTATTATAGGGCTTGACTTAGTTCTGTACCAGTTATTATAGAGCTTGACTTAGTTCTGTACCAATTATTATAGAGCTTGGTCAGCCCCCAACGTTAAATTGGTTGGGGAAAACTCTGCTACTTCTGGCATTTGAACACAGACATCTGTTTTCTTATGCAAACACTAAATACTGTGCCACTGCATATAAACATAAGTAAAAACAGTACAAAAGTTGAAGATGGCCAGCATGACACCAATCAGGGCTTGTTTTTTTATTTTTTTATTTTATTTCTGGCGGTACATAGCATACTGTACCGGCACCCTTTTTTTTAAGGCATCTTTTTCAGCACTGATGTAGTAGGCATTTGCTGTGAGTACCAGCATCTTTTAAAGACACTGTGTGGGGAGTACCCGCACCTTTGTTTCTAGAAAGGGGGGAAAATAAAGACTTGAAAGTGACCATGTCAGGCATTTAAAAACATATCCAAAAAAAAAATTGTCCTAATTGCCTGTTTTTACCACTTGAGTGATATTGGGGGGGGGGGGGGGGGGGGGGGGGGGTTTGAACCTGAGGATTTATGGGCCGCATGGCTAGAGCAGTCACCATAAACTGTTCAGGTTAGGGTTTGTTTTGCTTTGAGAAAAACCTGTAACCTTTCCGAGTGTTCAGGTCTGAGTCTCCGCAGGAGAGCTGAGTTTTTTTTATCCACTCGGCCAACTGACATTGTCACTCATGAATAATGTTGATGCGTTTAAAAAATATAAAATATGGGAACTGTCATGCTAGTTACTTGTT